GTAAATTTGTAAATGTGATTTGGACTGAAAAATTAATGATTGCAGTTTTATGACCAAAGGAAGATAAAAAAAAAAATCTTTGATTATACATGTATAGAATTACTCTATTGTATTGAAAATATTTTTTAGATGATGTATGTTACAGACTTTTTGAAGATAAATTGAGTTGGACAGAAGCAAATGACATGTGTGAAACATTTTTTAGAGACACACATCACCTGGTTACCATTGATAGCTCAGCCGAGCAAGGTATTATTTTAATTGTTTTAAAGTTACAGCAACAATATACACAAGGCACAATGTGATAATTAACATTAATACTTTTAAAAGAAATGTCAATGTCTCAAACAAAAATTGCACAAAATTAATTTTTGTCCTCAAAATTTGAAAATATGGTATAACACTTGCTTTATTCATATTTTGGTATGGAATTCACTGAAATGAAAGTATAGAAATTTGTTATCATTTGACCATCACATCTGTACCTCAGTGCATCCTGGAGGCAGGATTTTCACACCAATTTGGGAATTTTTGCAAAATTGTGGATTTTTTTCTGCCAAATTTATGCTTTTTACAATATATTTTTTCACATAAATCAATTGTCAAAAACTATTTTACGATACCTGTGTACTATGATAACACAATTTACTATCAATAAACCTGCACTTTTTCTCAGTCAGTTTGGTCATGGAATAACAATGCTTTGTCCTATATTTTGGACAAGGTAAATGGCATGAAGCCAAGTTAATCAACTCCTATTGTATGAATGGGATAAACTGAACTTTCAATTATCAAGGCTACATATCTATTTTCTAGGCTAATATGCCAATTCAAATGGCAACATAGATTTGTAATATGACTGGTACTGGTGTTTTGCAAATGGCTATACTTTTTTGTTTACTTTCATAGCCTTTGTAGCAGAACTTATTTCATCGATCAGATTTAATGACAGAGAGAGAGTTTGGATTGGCCTAGAAAGGAATACTTCTAATCTAAGTGTTTTTGATTGGGTCGATGGATCTCCTTTCTCCTACACCAACTGGTATCAATCAGATGATCCACTGGTTCCCACTGAGCCAAACACTGATGATGTAAGTACCAAACAGGCCAAACTTGCTAAAACTAAAAGCTCTGCCTCATAAATTGATATTAGTGATATGAACAATTTGAAATTATTACATATAATACTAATTTCTTGTAAGCGCTGAAGCATTACACTTTGGTTAATAAGAGAATATTTGATTGCCAATCAGACATGGATGTAAATAGCTATAGGTTACTGTATGGCAATCAGCTAAGAACAAACCTTCTGAATACAGTTTTTATGGACATTTTTGCAGCTCCATTATTTGTAGTTAAAAATTTAGGAAATATAATATTATTGCCAATGAGACTACTATCTATCAGAAACCATAGGACAAGGATAAAAATAACTATATGTTACTGTATGGCCTTCAACAATGAGCAAACCCATAATGTTTGATAGGCTATTACAGTCCATGCATGTAAAAATGTGAAACAATTCAAAAAAGGAAAAGCAACACCAGTTTCATGCTAAGAACCATATTATCTATATGTATCTACTTGATAATGACAGTGATAAATGAAACAAACTGGACGCTATTTATCTAAACGCACGCAAGAACACCTCATAAATTCAAAAGTATCATTTATCAACACCTTAAGAAGCACAATCATCCTAGGGGAATCTCATTCAAAGTTTGTACGATCATGGAAAATAATTGAATTAAATTGGATTAAAAAATTACAGACAGTCTATCCTCTCGGTCTTAATGATAATATCATGGGAATTGGTAATATATCAAGAACCGATTCTGTTAACATTTTGGATATAGTTTCTAAAGCTGTTCATAAAAACCATTCTCATTGGCATAGAATAAATCGCAATCAAAGAATATTTCGAACCTAATTTCTATTTCAAAAAACAACGGCAGACATTATCTGTTAACCAAGCTCTGTTCTTTACCTGTAAATAAATTACATCAAATTTTAGAGGATTGCAACACAATTCCATATTGCAGTCCTAAGTATGAAACCGTCCAAATTATAATTGCATATTGTTATTCTAAACTGTTTCCCAAAATTGATCGCCCTGAAGATCACAAAAAACATTTGATTAAAATCAAATATGTCAATAAAGGTTTTGATTTTGTAAATATTGCCGGTATTTTTAATGATCATTCTGTTAAAGAACAAATTCCTGGCTATTTTGATAATACTGAGCTCCCTCTTATTTGTTATGTTTACAAAAAATCTACCGGGAAATGTGTGTTTAATTATAGCCAAGTGTGTAAAGATGTAACGTCATGAAATTGCAGTAATTCTGAATACATTTATGGCCCCAGTTCCCATGTTATAACAGGAGACCTTAACATCGTTCATGACCAAGAGTTGAAATCATTCCTCAGTAAAGGACCTAAATATCATTCCCCGTCAATTATTAATTGGAATGAGTGTTGTAACATCATCCACGACTCACTCCGTACTTACTGCTCGAAATGGATAAAACTAGAAAAAGCTGACAAGAAATCCTTAGATTCTTTTTTTAATTCAGTAATGAACATAGTTGATATACGTATACAACATTTTAAAGAACATTTTACTCCTAACAACAACCATAATAACCCTATTTCTCGTATCAAACATAAGCTAAAAGAACTCGCAAAGGAATTTGTTTTTGTCCCGGCTGATAAGGCTGCTAATAATATCATTATTGTTTGACGTAAATTTTACATTGAGATTCTGCAAAAGGAAATCACGTATTCACCAACATTGCAACTGACTCCATTTTCGGAAAATGACATCTGTAACAAACATCAACTTTTAGCAACTTTTTTACAAGCAAAACCAAAAACAATGAAAGTTCAAACTATGTACTGGCTTCCAAAGCTGCACAAAACACCTTACAAATATAGATTGATTTCGTCTTCAAGCCATTGTTCCACTACTAAACTGTCTATTCTACTTACTAGTACACTTGGTACAATCAAAAACCTGGTAATAAATTGTTCAAATAAGGCCTTTGAAAATAGTGGAACTAATTACTTTGGGAGTGTCACAAATTCGTTGGTAGTACTTGATAAATTACATGCTTATATTGGTGATTTCGAATCTGTTCAAAGTTTTGATTTTTCTACCCTATATACCACTTTGCCTCATAATCTTATTAAGAAAAAATTCACACACCTAATTAAATGAGCATTTAAAAAGTCAGAATGAGAATATATATGTTCAAGTTTTTTAGGTCATTTTTTAGTACCAACAAACAAAAGAACTATGTCAATTGGACCTGCTTTGATACTATAACTGCCCCTGAATTTTTACTAGATAACATTTTTGTTCGCTATGGAGATTCCGTATATCGTCAAGTTATCGGAATTCCAATGGGGACTAACTGTGCACCACATATTGCGGACCTGTTTCTGTATTGTTATGAGTTACAATTTATGACTAAAATCAGCAAAGACGCATTGAAACAACATCTGATACAAAAATTTAATAACACTTTATTTGGATGATATATTGGCTCTCAATAATGACGACTTCAGTATGTACACTAAAGAGATTTATCCTGCTGAACTGACTTTAAATAAAGCTAATACTAACAATGAACACTGCCCTTTCCTGGATCTTGATATCTATATCTTTAATGGGAAGCTTATTCCAAAATTTATGATAAAAGAGATGATTTTTATTTCCTATTGTTAATTATCCATTTTTAGATGGTGACGTTTCCTTGTCACCATCTTATGATGTTTATATATCTCTACTTGTTTGATTCGCTGGTGTATGTAACAACATATATGATTTTAACGAAAGAAATCTCTGTATTACGAAAAAATTATTACACCAGGGTTTCCCATATCACAAACTAGTCAAAACATTTACTAAATTTTATCATCGGTACAAGAACATCATTTGTAAATATAAATCAACATGCAGACATCTTATACGTTCAGGTATTTCACATCCAGTCCTTTATTGTAATATTCTTTACAAAGCACAAAAATGTCGGCATTCACCTCAAAAGCTAACCAAACCTTTAAAAAAAACTTATTCAGAAGGGATATAGTTACGATACTGTTGTCGGGTCATTAAAGATGGCATATTTTGGTATTAATATTGATTCACTCATAGGGTCTTTGCATCAGAAATAAACACATTTATTCTAAAACCAGTTGTTGGAATAATACGGGTTATGTTCTTCTCATATATTTTATGATGGTATGATACTAAATCCCTTACGGGAGGGATTGTGCTTGACTTTCATATGATGAAGACATAATCTTTCAATCAGTTTAATTGAGGTCTGGAGCTGGCATGTCAGTAACTGCTAGTAGTCCTTTGTTAACTTATGTATAATTGCCATTTTGCTTAGTTTCTTTTGTTACCTATTCTGACATCAGACTCGGACTTCTTTTAAACTGAGTTTTACTGTGGTATTGCTATGTGTTTGTTTTTAAAGGCAGTGCTTTAATGCCTTTCTAGTTGCCGGGTTAATCCTTCCTTCCGCGATATCCAACTTATCTACGTGGGGGGTCATTAGGCTCCAAGTAGATCCGGAAATGTTGAATTCTCTCCTCTTCTTATTGTGATATAAAATGTTTTTTGTTTCATTTTATTTACATTGGGAAATAGAGAAACGATCATTGTGTTTTGTTAGTTTTAAAAACTTTTGATATATTTGTATTTTGCATTATAAGCAGTCAACCGATTGACAAACTAGAATTATTTGAATTCCGTGTGGAAAGAGCTCGGGTTAATTTCGAGTGTTATCTGCAATCTATATGTTTATAAATCATTTCAGTCGTTGATATAATAATTAAAGGTCGACTGAACATGAATTATATTATACAATTTAAAGCGCATTTCTGTTTATGCACGTGAACCCGTCTAACGTTATTGTTATTTCGCAGTTATATAAAGTAGCAAATTATCGTTCCTGAATAGGTGGCGCCGTGGTAGCCGACCCTGTTCCTCAACTTCCGGTTTCTGCACTGTGCAACTATTTCAGTTACATTTTTAATTAACGATGCCAAGTACTTGTTGTTGTGTACCTGGATGTCATTTAAGAGGAGGACATGCATTTCCAAATGTCTTAAAAAGAAGGAAAAGTTGGATCAACGCCATGGCCCATACGCAGATTGGACGAGAACACGATGAAATCGTGGAGTCCATCTCAATCAGCTGTTGTTTGCAAGGCACATTTTACTGGAAAAGACTACGTGCAGGAAACTATTCATGGTAAAACTCTGTTTTCTATTTGAAATATATAGTTATATATGTAATCGCCATGCGAATAAACCAAAGTCTGTTTACAACCGCAATTATCGTTTTAAAATAAAAGGGGGTGGTTAATTCAAGACGTCATAATTTTTTGGATTACGATTCAATGTGATCTGTTTGAGATTTTTTGGTGATTGCTACAATTATAATGATTTCTTACAAGAGGTATATCATACTGAGAATTATTTTAGCAGTAATTATGCTAATGTAGTAATGACAGGAATGCATAACTATGCCTCATAGACTTTCTTGAAAAATATCAATGACAATGTTAACAGGAACAAAACAATGACATGCTCTCATCTATATTATAGTTATTTAGGTACAAACAATGTACCTTTGTTGCATAAGTCTCTCATTGTTTGTCCTTTGGATTTACATAACATACATTGAATCAGGCAAACATAGTTTTATCCAGATTGTAATGAATAAATCTAGTTAATATTTCGCCAGGTAATACAAAGTATACATTGCTAATGGAAGTTCATTTAATTATCAAAAAACTAATGTTTTATAACCTTTTTCAGGGCACAAACCCGCCATACAGAGACTTAAGTCTACTGCCATTCCCAGCCTATTTTCCTGGACCAAGCAAGAGACTGAATCGTCTGCAAAAAGAAAAATCAGGGCAGTTTCCTGTGAAAACAAAAGAACTTAACTTGATGAATATTGTAGTAGAAATCTAGAGGAAAGTTTTGACTGTAAAGTTGGTTTTCCTGAAGAAGTCATTCATACTGCAGAAAGGATTTATGACTGTCCACCACCAACTGCCGAGCTAATGTTGAGCTTCACAGATGGAATTACGCAAACACCATCAATGCCTATGTTTTCAGCAGAGAATTTTGAAATGAAGACATGTGACACAGCCATGCATTTTTATATCGGTTTAGAGTTGTATACTAAATTTTTATTTGTTTTGACCACACTTGGTCCAGCAGCACATTGTTTGAGATACATATATTTTCAAATTGATAGACATAATAAACATGTACACATACATGTAGGGCGAATTATTGGACTTGGCAAAACATACAAAATTCTAATAAATCCTGTGAATGGAACTGAAACAAAACTTTCATCTGAAATAACATTTAGTTGTTTTATGTTGTGTAATTTTAGAACTTGTATTGTGCCAAAGGATGCATAAATAAAAGTGACACAATGAATTTTGTTCTGATATATATATATTTATAATTACATGCACATGTAAATTGTAATGCATATAAAAATAAGGAGATGTGGTATGATATTCAGTGAGTTTATCGAACTAAAGTGCATAAGAAATGGGTTTAAGCAGTTACAGGTGTTACTGTCACCGTACAATCTCCAACAATGAGAAAAACTTGTACCGTGTAAAAAATTTCAGAGATCTTACCACTAAGTTTTGTTGTCTCACCTTGACTTTGGTGAATTGTTTATATCTGTTGATGTAAATATAAAAAAGAAGATGTGGTATGATTGCCAATGAGACAACTCTCCACAAGAGACCAAATTACACAGAAATTAACAGCTATAGGTCACAGTACGGCCTTCAACAATGAACAAAGCCCATACCGCACAGTCAGCTATAAAAGGTCGCGAAATGACAATGTAAAACAATTCAAACAAGAAAACTAACGGCCTAATTTATGTACAAAAAATGAACGAATATAACAAATATGCAACACATAAACAAACAACAACCACTGAATTACAGGCTCCTGACTTGGGACAGGCACATACATGTACATACAGAATGTGTCGGGGTTAAACATGTTAGCGGGATCCCAACCCTCCCCCTAACCTGGGACAGTGGTGTAACAGTACAATATAAGAATGAACTCTAAAAATCAGTTGAAAGAGGCTTAACTCATCAGATGGATAAATACAAATACAAGTGGACATGGTCGGGTAGTTGTACTTCCAAACAACAAATAGACACTAAGTACAGATCTGAGAGTACGCACAGTTACTGACAGCTAGTTCAAAGCCACTAACAACTGATAAAAAATCTTGCATCTAAGACTAAATTATCAATCCGTAAGCTCCCTTTAGAATTTTATAAATTTTAGATTTTACATTTCTGAGTTATGGGGTTTTATTCATTAAAAAAGGGGGGATTTTCCAGTTTTTGTCGAGCCTGCGACTTTTGTCCCAGAAAGCTCGACATAGGGATAGTGATGTGGCGGCGGCGTTAGCTAACTTCTTAAAAGCTTTATATTTTAAAAGGTGGAAGACCTTGATGCTTCATACTTTGTATATGGATGCCTCATGTTACGAAGTTTCCGTCAGCCACATGTCCAATGTCCTTGACCTCATTTTCATGGTTCAGTGACTACTTGAAAAAAAAGTAAACATTTTTTGTAATGTTAAATTCTCTCTTATTATAAGTAGTAGGATAACTATATTTGGTATGTGTGTACCTTGCAAGGTCCTCATGCCCGTCAGACAGTTTTCACTTGACCACGATCTCATTTCATGGATCAGTGAACAAGGTTAAGTTTTGGTGGTCAAGTCCATATCTCAGATACTATAAGCAATAGGTCAAGTATATTCGGTGTATGGAAGGACTGTAAGGCGTACATGTCCAACTGGCAGGTGTCATCTGACCTTGACCTCATTTTCATGGTTCAGTGGTTATAGTTAAGTTTTTGTGTTTTGGTCTGTTTTTCTTATACTGTATGCAATAGGTCTACTATATTTGGTGTATGGAATGATTGTAAGGTGTACATGTCTAGCTGGCAGGTCTCATTTGACCTTGACCTCATTTTCATGGTTCAGTGGTCAAAGTTAAGATTTTGAGTTTTGGTCTTTTTTTCTAATACTATATGCAATAGGTCAAGTATATTTGGTGTATGGAAATATTTTATGATCTATATGTCAGTCACGTAGGTTTTGTTTGACCTTGACCTAATTTTCACAGTTCATTGTTCAGTGTTAAGTTTTTGTGTTTTGGTCTGTTTTTCTTAAACTATAAGCAATAGGTCAACTATATTTGTTGTATGGAAGAATTGTTAGCTGTTGCCTGGCATGGTTCATCTGACCTTGACCTCATTTTCATGGTTCATTGGTCAATGTTTAGTTTTCTTGGTTAATGTTAAGTTTATGTGACAGTTGTAATAAAGCTTTATATTAAGGACTATCAACATAATATCAGTGATTAGTAAAGAAGGCGAGACATTTCAGCGTGTGCACTCTTGTTGGACAACAACTCAAAAATGCTTTAAGCAGTTCGCATGAAACTTTGGTGAATTATTTATAGCTATTGATGTAATCTCCCTATAGATTTTCATAAATTTCAAATATGACATTGAGAAGAAATTGAACTTTATTTGTTTATAGTCTGGCAACAGATTTATTAAGTATTGCGCAACAGCACAGTGTATTGCACAACAGCAAGAAATCTTTAATTGAATATAAATTCAATTCATATAACCGATTTCAAGTTCTTTGACTACATTTATTCAGAAACTATAATATGTCAAATATTTAATTACAATCCAAATTCAGACCTGTATCAAGCTTGAATATTGTGTCCATTTTTGCCCTAACTGTTCAGGGTTGGACCTCTGCGGGTGTATCCAGCTGCGCTCAGCGAATCAGTTTATTTCTTAATTAAGAACTCCTTTTTTCATTCATCAAATACTTTAAACTTGGAAATATAATTTTGCTTGGAATTATAGTTTCTAAAAAAAGTATTGTCATTGAAAGAGTTGACATGTTGCAATGTACATTTATTCCATTTATTCTACATAGTTCTATGGTAACAAATCAAAAGTTTATATAAAAGGAAGAAGTCAAAGGTTTTCCATCATAGTTAAGTTACATACATTTGTATTGTACCTGAGGTCGTTGAATATAGATCATTATATAAATAAGGAGATGTGTTATGATTGCCAATGAAACAACTATCATCCATACTTAACAGTAACAAACCACATTTGCAGAGTTGAATAAAATACAGTTGATAACATTTACTTATTACTAAAAAGAAAATCCCTAACTATTTTAAACAGTATTTGAATATCAATTATATGGTCATTTTTATAAACTTCCTGTTACAAAACTTTGAATTTTTCGAAAAACTAAGGATTTTCTTATCCAAGGAATAGATTACCTTAGCCGTATTTGGCACAACTTTTTGGAATTTTGGGTCCTCAACGCTCTTCAACTTTGTACTTGTTTGGCTTTATAACTATTTTGATCTGAGCTTCAGTGATGAGTCTTATGTAGACGAAACGCGCGTCTGGCGTATTAAATTATAATCCTGGTACCTTTGATTACTAATTTGACTATAAACATAGATAAAAAAAGGTACAAACTGGACATAATGCACTAGTTCATAAACAAGTGAGAACAATCACCTTCATATAGTGCTCAGAATATGACATTCATATAACTTGTTCAATATCATTAGAGAACTCTAAATCTTAAATACTGAAAGCCACCTCTGATAAGTACACTGTACTATGCAAGCTAATGATATAACTGGACTAAAAATACACACAACCTGTAATTAACTGCCTTTACAGCGCTTTCGCGCTTTGATTCTTCATGGCTAGAGGTATAGGGGGAGGGTTGAGATCTCACAAAACATGTTTAACCCCGCCGCAGTTTTGCGCCTGTCCCAAGTCGAGCCTCTGTCCTTTGTTAGTCGTAATATTTTTAATTTTAGTTCATTTATATGTTTTGGAGTTTAGTATGACGTCCATTTTCACTGAACTAGTACACATATTTGTTTAGGGGCCAGCTGAAGCCTGGGTCCGGGTGTGGGATTTTCTCGCTGTGTTGAAGACCCATTGGTGGCCTTCGGCTGTTTTCTGCTCTTTGGTCGGGTTGTTGTCTCTTTGACACATTTCCCATTTCCATTCTCAATTTTAAAGTATATATGTTTATTTTGACAAAGATTAGACATGAAAACAGTAAACTTTTTTCTGCAAAAAGATCTTTTGTATTAGTTTAAATCAGTTTAATTTATCATGTTCAGTGTGTTTTAATATCATAAACTATTTATTTAATAGGAAGAATGTGTTAACATTTTCATGGGACCTGAAAAATTTGGATACTGGAATGATGACCTATGTGGAGAAGAACATTTCTTCATGTGTGAAGGACCTTCTGGTTTGTATTATATTGTAATTTGTGCATTTTGGGTTTGGATTTATTGGAATTGCTATGCATAATATTATGTTAATATCATTTTTTATTCAAATTATGTTTTTTTTTGTATATACATATGGTAATTTATGCAGATATTGGAATTGCCATTCATAATATCACCATAATATTATTTCTCATTTAAAATGTACTGATCCCTTTAAGATTGGATTTTGATATCTGTATAGTATATCCATAATTACAGACACATTTTTACCATGCTCAGAACCAACCTTCTAATTTTACATCACAACTCTTCTTATTTGGTTTTTGTCAGGCCTGCGACTTCTGTCGCATAAAGCGAAACATAGGGATAGTGATCCAGCTGCTGGTGATGGCGGCGTTAACTAACTACTTAAAAGCTTAATATTTCAGAAGGTAGAAGACCTGGATGCTTCATACTTAGTATATAGATGCCTTATGCTATGAAGTTTCTGTCTGTCATATATCCTTTGTCCTTGACCTCATTTTCATGGTTAATTAACTACTTGAAAAAAAAAGTTAAGATTTTATGTAATGTTAATTTCTCTCTTATTATGAGTAATAGGATAACTATATTTGGTGTGTGCGTACCTTGCAAGGTCCTCATGCCTGTCAGTCAGTTTTCACTTGACCACGACCTCATTTCATGAATCAGTGAACAAGGTTATGTTTTCTTGGTCAAGTTCATATCTCAGATACTATAAGCAATAGGTCTACTATATTTGGTATATGGAATGATTGTAAGTTGTACATGTCCAACTGGCAGGTGTCATCTGACCTTGACCTCATTTCCATGGTTCAGTGGTTAAAGTTAAGTTTTTGTGTTTTGGTCTGTTTTTCTAATACTGTATGCAATAGGTCAACTGTATTTGGTGTATGGGAATATTTAACGATTTACATGTCAATCTGGAAGGTTTTATTTGACCTTGACCTCATTTTCACGGTTCATTGCTCAATGTTAAGTTTTTGTGGTTTGGTCTGTTTTTCTTAAACTATAAGCAATAGGTCAACTATATTTGGTGTTTGGAATGATGGTAAGATGTATATG